GAATTTTCTCTTCTGGGCTGTTATTTCTACCCAGATATATAGTAGCTTCCTGTGAATTTAAATTGTGGGTGCTGCCAAAATACTGCATTTCCTATTCCTCTGTCTACCCACAGTACTTTTATAAGTCCCAATTGTAAAATAGCTGGACACTTTTCAATTTGTTTGTCCTTACCTCACCCCTGCTAGACAGGAAAATATTAATATTTCTATTTTAAAGGAGGAAAACTAAGGCCAAGAGACCCAGGAGTTACCTTAACTGCAGCAACTGTGCTGCTGTAGTTGCAATAATCTACAGATATCAAGTGAGGCAAAGTTTGCAGGGAGACCGACTGTGAGACCAGCATGGAGTGGGATTAAAACATGCTTAGGGTGAGAAATTAAGGCATCCACAGGTAATGATTCACATCTACATGACATCATTACAAGCAGACATGATCTGTGTATTCACAGTATTTTATCTGGTGCATTCCAGTCATGCCTGTCATGATAATGGCCCATTTTCTGCAAGGAAACCCTCACACATAAAAAACTAGAAATTTCACTAGTCCAACACTCAGGTACATCTGTGTGTGATGCGATCCAGCAGCACTTTCTCCTTGGCTGTGTGATAAGGGGAGGGATAAACAAAACCCATTTTCCAACATGTCAAAACTCAGCAAAAAATCTTCTGTATCACTTCATAGAAATGGTGCGAGCAACCTCACTGAGCTGAGTTTTAGATCCTTTAGGAACACAGTCTGCGCTGAGATTGAGATGAGGCATTTTGTACATCGTCTCTTGCATTGAGCAGGGAAGAATCTTGCCACTGGCACAGTAACAGGTTTTTCAGAAGATTTTTTTTAAATACCTCAAATTATATTGTGAGCACTCTTTGGGGGCCAAAGGGCTGGAAAGATCATCTAACAAACACCCAAGTGAAAGTTTAGCTTCCTGAAATGCAGTTCTGTATGTGAACAAGCAGATTCATCACGCCTAATGATAGAATTGGGACTTCACCTCATTTGGCCAAATCCCCTCCAAGCCAGTGAACACCAGGACAGGAATCATCTGGGCAGTGTGATTATTTCCAACACAGCTGAGCTGCTCACTAAGAATCCCCTCATAGTAAACAGAGATCTTGTCAACAGGCAAGACAATCTGAACATGATTCATCACATCCTAAAAGAGATGCCTACACTTGGTGAGAATACACTAGAGCTACCTAAAATCAAGTGAAAGACATCCCTCACCAAAAGTCATTCCCATGCAATATCTGTTTGCCCATGTGAAACAAACTGGTCTCAGTCTACTTATTCTTGATTTTAATGGTAAAGAATCCACTTCTGTATTGAATCACAATTGTCACTTTAGATCTTTACTAGTTATTTCAGCATGGAGGTAAAAGGATAACAGGGCAGAGGACTGCAAGGGCAGTCCCGCTCATGAAATCCAATCCTGTCCTGCAATACACAACTGCATCCTACACACCCTTTCATAAACTGGGCATGCTCTGCCATGAAGTCAATAAAACACTCCTTCCTGCAGACCTCCAGAAAGGCTGTTCAGTATCCTCTGAGGGTTACAAACTTCCTTTAAAGTCAAGACTTTGATCTCACAGCTGTTTTATTCTCCTGTGTACACACTGCCAGCTTAAACTGGTCTTCCCTGCTGTTTTCTCTCTAGCTGCGTCTTCTGCAGGCCTTCCCATGCTGAAAAGCTAACCTCTTCTTATCAGAGGTGGTCACACTTTTGTGACCCCTGTGTCTCTCCTGTGTCCTTGCTACAATCTCCTCAAATGTGGGTAGCCTCACGGATATTGAATCACACTCCTAAGAGGGAATAGAGAGTCTCCCATCCTGCTAATAATAAACAGCGGTCCTGTGGTCCAGGGCTGCTGACAGCAGGAACAGTAATTGGCACCTACTACCAGCACCGAAAACACAGAGGTTTGAAAAGGAAACATCGATTTTACCCATGCATATACACCCACTATAAGGAATGGGTGTTTGAAGATAAAATAGCATTAAGACAGTCGTTATTGTTTATCAGTGGAAATCTACCTGCTTATCCTGAGCTGGTGATCAATCTCAGCACTACCATCAGGTGTTCTTAATAAGTGACTAATCTATCTGACACATCAAATTACATCTGTGATTAAGCCCCTCTGATCAATACAATTGATAATGGCTCCTAAACAAAGCTTTATTTCCAGACTGTACCGAAACAGTGTGTTTCCTTATTTCCACTCATTTAATTAGAAATGATAACAAATAGGTTGTTAAACCTCAAATGATTTTCTTTTTGCTAAAAGGATGTGGAATGCGCAGAAGGCAATACACCTACCTGGCCATAAATCAAGGTATTACATTACGAATGGCAGGGAATCTCAATTGCATTCCCTCCTCCTTCTCTGGGGGACTGAATCGTATTAAAATTACATTTTTCATGGGATTTTTACTAGGATTTTTTCTTTCCAGCAACACTCAAACTAAACAGTCATCACCTTCACATGATCTCATATCGTCACCTTCATAAGATTTCTCCCCACCAAACTTCCCCCTCACCCCCAACCATCCAAGTTCAAAGTTTTATTTTGCAGCTGTGCTCAGCTACATTTATTGAGTTACGGAGCCCCACTCCAGAAAAATATCTATTTTTACCTACACGTGCTCACATGCTGTGCCTTGAACACTCCAAGGGGGAAACACATGCCACTTAGACACTTTGGAGTCACCTGTCCACACAACTTTCAGAACAGGCTTCTCCATAAGATGATTCACCCATTGTCACCCATTTGAGAGCCAACACTGTAGAGATGATGGTTTCTTTCTGTTGATTGCAAGGGCAGCCGTGAGAGCCTAGCTAAGGGTCAGGTATTGAGCTCTTAAATACCTGCTGATGTGTTGGGGCAAATGGATGTCAACTGCTTTCCACACAGTTTGCACTGTAAAATTTGGTTGGACATATGCTGTGTCCCTACACACACTTGTTCCACACTGATGTCTTCAATGACCATTTCTACCCAGGACATGCAGACATACACAAATGACATCTGACATTAACTCAGGAGTAGCAGGTACTGTCTCCATGGACAAAAAGCATGTTAGAGTGCTCACAACCGCGATTTCTGAATCAGTCCCGTTTAATGACTATGGGTAGTGACTGGTGGGAATGCAGAATTATCCCACTCCAATATTTCAGTATTCCATTATGAAAAACAAATTCCAAAAGATTTTTATATACTCCCTAGTGCGTGCTTGGGCATTAAGGGCTTGCGTGACTGAGCGTGTTTTTACATCAGAATCAGGAAAAATATTTTCAATGGTTTAATTCAGTGGAGAGAAAAAAAAGCTCTTTTGAATTAAACTTTCCTATGAGAAAAATAATTTTGAAAAAGCAGAAAAAAATATTAATACTTGAAGTATTTATTCTTCTATTTTGAATGTACTGTATTTAATTGAATTTCTTTAAATATCCATGAAAATGAAATGAAGCATTTAGCTGGCTTTCAGCTGAATGTTTTTAACTACCCTGACTTTTTCCTTTACTGGATTTTAGGAGAACATTTCTTCAAACGGCTCCATTTAACTGTACAGGGACACTTGAAATAGTTCCCAAATCAAAGAAAACCATATCTTAGTAGATAAAAGCAGGGGCCAAAAGCCATCCTTGCATTCAATAAAGCTCCTCCAGGGATCATCTTGTCCCCAGGATGCTATTCTATTGTTAGTTAGCGTTGTGTAGAACAGTCTTTCAGTCTGTAGTCTAACTGCAAGCAATGCCAAGGGAGAGAGGATGAGAAGACACCCTCTTCCACTTTTTCCTCTTTCAGGAGGTGGGATGCAAATATCAAGCAGGATACACATCTTCCCACCCCTTCCCCCAGCAATGTGATCCCTTGGAGCCTGACAGCCTACCACTGGTCCCTATACCTCCTTTGCTCACAAAATCAGGACCTGTAACTTGAGAGAGACACTTGGAGGGGAAGAGGTCCAACTCGATGCCTCAACCTGGGGCTTTGACAGCACTGCTGTGGGATGGGATGGGACAGCACCAAAACCAAAAGCTTTCTTTCTCTGCCACACTGATCTCTACAATTTAAGACTGAGCATGGGTGGCTGTGTCAAAATTTCCCAAGCTCTCTGTAGGCTGCCCACTAGGGAATTGTGTTAGCTCAGACCCTTTCAACATCACCCACCCGTGTCCCATCTTGCAGGCTGGCCTGCAGCTCCTCTGCTCACAGCAACATCCCGCAGCCTCTCTCCTGCTCTGAAACGCCACGTGCCCAACGCGTGGTATGCCATGCCTGCTCCTCAAGGGAGGCACAGCTCCATGGCTGCTGCCTGAGGCCGGGATGGAGAAACCTTGGGTGGCTGGAGAGCAAATGTGGTGTCATTGGCCTGGCCCTCCTCTCCTGATGACTGAAGCAGGGAGTGGGTTAAGGGCACCGGAGAGCCTTTCAGGAGGACTGCCCAGTGTGGTGTGTGCTCCATGTCATGTGAACAAGGAGAGGATCTCAGCCGCCCAGCCCAACTTCATAGATACCTTGGAGCCTTGGAGCACACCCTTCCTTCCTCCGCTTTGCCAGCAGGATGGGAGCAATTTCGGCATGGGGATGGGAGGGCAGTTCAACAGAAGGAGAAGGTCACCATGACTTCCCTTGAAGCAAACCAAAGCCTATAAGAACTTCAGGCTTTCAGATCCAAGGGAAAAATTGGTTAAGGCACTTTCAGTTCAAAGAGATGGATGATTGACTGTGATTAAGCACAGAGACACCTAAGCTAGCCTTACCCAGCTGGGAGACAGAAAGTGATCCCCAGCGAGCTATTCAAACTCTTGGTTTATTGAATTATACTTTGGAAGTACCTACTTCTCTCCCTCCTAATGTAAGAGCTCAACATCAGCTGGACTGACTGCCCTGCTCCAGCAGCAGGAGGGGTGAGAAATGGCATGGGCAAGGCAGATGTGAGGCTGGGTGATGTTGGCTTGCAGGCCAGGGAGAGAAGAGAGTGTCCCCATACCTGAAGTCTGGTTATCCCCAATAAGCTCTGCCAAGCACTGGCTGCGCTCCTCTTCAATCTCCTGCATGATGCTGCACTCCGGACGTGTGCTGGATGCCTGCAGAAAGGGCAGAGAAGAAGAGAGTGAGCAAAACCCGTCTATCCTCAGAGATGTGTTCTTGGGGATTCATGGCCATCTGAGCTCTCCTGGGCTGCTACACAATGGGGATATACATCCAGCCTTATTTTATGTTTGCTTGAGAGAAGGGAGTGTAACCTACATCCCGCAGAAAAAAAAAAAACATTTCCCTCCATGCCTTCCTTAAAAAAAACAACCTATTTTTTTCTGATGATCAGGAGCAATTCTGCTTCTTTATGCTCCAGGAACCCTGCCTGACTAACCTAACACCAACAGCTATCTAGGGCAGGAAGATGGCAGTTTTAATATTCATGCCAAGAGCAGTGGGATCTGTGCTTACATGGTTTATTCCCTCCGTTCTCACATGGCCTGCCTCCTGGCTCATGCTAATTCAAAGCAAAACAAAAACCAAATCAAATAAGAACGAAATCTCTGATGCAGATTAGGAGATCAAGGAGCTAAAAAGCAGGAAATTACCAATGACAAGACTTCTTCCCCCAAGTGGTTTCTCCTCAGTCAGACCTAATTATATTGTGTTTGTAATACAACAGTGGCTATAAGGTAATTAATTGTGGACTCCTTACAACATATAATTCATGAACTGCCTCAATCATAAAATGTGCAAATGATGCTTTGCACTCCAAAAAAGGAACCAGGAGCTGGACAACGGGTCACATAACACAATGTCCCCTTGTCACCAACACGCTCTCAACTTGGAGGGAACACCTTGCTTCACTGCTATGGCAATTGTGAGCAGAAATTGAGGTCCCATTACGCACGGCACTGTACAAAACCCCATCTCTTTCAAAGAGATTGGAAATGGCATTCAGCAGAGAGAAATGTGTTCAGAAACTCAGCTGTAAAGAGATGATGTGAGGGGAATGATGTGAAGAGGGCAGAAGTCTCGGCTTGAGTTTACACCGTCACTGTTAAATGCAATGCAGGAAAAACCCTGAGTCGGGTGAGCTTCAAGGACAGATTTTGAGGACAGGGGATGAGCCTTTGCCTGTAAGAAGTCATTGATTCAGTGTTCACTCTTGCTGGATTTTGGAAAAAGCATATATTTTCATCAGAAATAGGCATAGAAAGGAAAAGAAAAAAAGATCTTTTCATGTCTTGTTTCAAAATGTGTGAGCTATTCTCTATCCATGTATTTGCCAGACAAGTTTGTAAGACAGAAGGCCCAGTAATCCTTTGAAGGAACAATTGTTTGATGTAAATTGCCCTTTGGATTAAAATTACAAAATAATTTAGCACATTAAATTTATTCTCACCATTTCTTATTAACCAAATCGGCTCTCTTCCGTGTTTCACCCCATATCTTGTTCAGACTGTAATTTCCTTTAGGTGGGGAATGGGCCTTGATTAGTAGTGTATAAAGAACTAATTATGTGATTTTCTAGTCAAATTAAAAATAAAAAAAAAAAACAAACACGAGAGGGAGAAATTATTTGAAATTGTCTTGGTACTCAAATGTTTCTTTTTCCCAAAGGGAAACAGATCTTAGGAAATTTTATCTTGGCTCATCTAAAATACCATAGATTCATTTTGTTTTGATTTACAGTGCTTCTTGCCTTTTTACTTTAACCTTAAAAAAGCGTGAGGGGAAGCGTGAGAGATTTGCAGAACACTTGATGTAAAAATAAAGACTGAAATGTTTTCAAAACATTCTGACTTTTTCAAAGGAAAGTTTTAACTCTCTGGACTTACTTAAACTATTGCCAAATTCATCTCACATCTATAAATAACTCAAGTTTTCACTTTATAAATTAATTCATACAGCTCTAACTTTGATCAGGGTTGGCAAAGCATTGTGTATTTCTACGACATATTTTAATTTTTTTTTAATGCAGTGACTTTTCTCCCAAGCCCATTAGCAAGTACTTCACTGCTGCATGTTCCCTTCACTAAAAACGCATGCCTACATTGGTCAATTGCATATTTACCTCAACAGCTGATATTTACTTTTGAGTAAACGTTTTATCACCTTTCAAAAAAACCAATGACGCTGATTCATTGTCAGTACTCTGAAAAGTGGGATCATGACAGATTCAGGTGTTTAGCCTGGAGAAGAGGAGGCTGAGGGGAGACCTTATTGCTCTCTACAGCTACCTGAAAGGAGGCTGTAGCAAGGTGGGGGTCGTTCTCTTCTCCCAAGTAACAAGTGATAGAACAAGAGGAAACAGCCTCAAGCTGCGCCAGAGGAGATTTAGATTGGATATTAGGAAAAATTTCTTCACCGAAAAAGTTGTCAAGCATTGGAAGAGGCTGCCCAGGGAAGTGGTTGAGTCTCCATCCCTGGAGAGATTTAAAAGACATGTAGATGTGGTGCTTAGGGACATGGTTTAGCGGTAGACTTGGCAGTGTTAGGTTAATGGTTGGACTCGATGATTTAAAGGTCTTTTCCAACCTCAACGGTTCTATGATTCTATAAACAAACAAACAAACAGTGGGATGTATCTCACCTTCTCTCTCAGAGGGACACATCTTCATTTTAGCTGGGTAAAAGCTACATGTCTAGTCTGAACTGATTTTTACCACTCCTTCTAGTCCACAGAGACCTAGCAAGCATCAGCCCTGAAGGCTTTCATCCCACTTCACTGACTGTAGTTGGACCAGTTCAAACTAAAATACCTACTATTTAGCTGGAGAAGGTCAGTGATGTGTGAATTTAATGTCTAAGACCTTTAATTGAATCATCAAGGTCAAAAAACATACTCACATTGGAGGCCTTCTAGTTTATGGCTCATTTTCCACATTAACTAAACAAGTAAATAAATAACCCAGACAATCACAGCAACCCTCCTTCTCCATGCTGAGTGATAACACTAATAAGCCTCACATATCACAGCCATCATTTCTATAGGCTAACGAAGGCAGCTGGAATTAAAAAAAAAAAAAAAAAAATCACAGTTTTGGGCATCATCAGGAAACAGAGAAGTGTGTCTGTATTTGTTGGTAGGTCATCAATTCAGCTGGCCTGATGGTGAGCAGGGCAACAACTTCAGTTGCCTTAATTCACCTCCCAGTTGACAAAATGCTGATGGCTGAAAAGACCCATCAAGAGCTGCGGGTCTTGTCTGCCAAGGAGGATCTTCCCCGGGATGAGAGGCTAAATAACTCTCCTTCCTTGGTGTATTCCTCCTAGAAAAGCTTGAAGTAGACTTTATAGACAGCTTGGTACAAACTCACTTTACTTCTTCCCAACTCTGTGTTTTTGCTGTGTTGTTTTGTTTTGTTTGTTTGTTGCCTGTGGAAAAGGCAGAGATTTTGGGCTTTGCATCTTCCACTGCAGTGGGCAACTGGTCACACAGACATGGGGCTGAGGACTACACTAATTCACATTTCCCATGCAAAAAGTATAGGTAAAGGAAAAGCATGACCAGCTTTGGTTAGCTCACATTAACATCAGCTAGTGAACAGTAATCCAGTTCCCTGGGCATATCCATTGTGGGTGAAGCTGAAACTCAGTAAACCTTCCTTCGCTAAGCCCTCCTGGCATGCCCAAGATACCATGTAAAAATTGTGGTGGGTTTGTCAGAGGTCTTTTTTCCCGCACACACTCTGAAGCCCTGAGCAGAAAGACGAAAGGAATGTTTTTCTGGATGTTATTTCCTGCAGCTCCGAATTCTGCAGCAACTCGCATGTGGAATTATCCCCAAAGTCTTTATTAATGAGAGTTTTCCTTCCCACTGGATCCCAACAATTGTTAGAGGATTACCGCACAGTCTGCTACTGCAAAGAAAGCCATTGTGTACACTCTTTAATTAAATACAATTCAAAGGATTGTCACAGACTGAAGGAGCTGCAGAAACGTTTAGTCTCATCTATGCTGTCTGCCATTAGCAGGGCCAGGCTAACTATGGGCCAACTCCTTTGCTCACATGGCAACTCCTCAAAGGCAGGTGGGATTCACAGCGAAGCCACACATGTGGGTAAGCAGGAATATGGGCCCACAAGAAGTGATGTGAGTATCTCCCCTTCTCCTGGTCCAGAGTGCTCCTGAGCTCACCTGGAACTCACCGTATGGAGACTCCAGCAGAGATGGGGACTAGGGTGACCACAATGATAACAGGATTTGGAGTCAAACAAGGAAGGAGTAGAACTGAAAAGCCTACAGATGATGAAATCACATCCCTCACCCATTCAGCTCCCAGAGCCTACACAATAGTGACCTATTGTGCACACAGGTACACAGGTACACTTCCAGCTATCTAAATGGAAATTTCTTATACCATTACTACCTTCCCATAGCTTCTGTGAAGGTAGTAACAGTATAAGACAAGAGCATTAGTTGCCTTCCTATGGTTTCTATAACATGACTTCAGTCACTGCTCTAGGGGGAGATGGGAGTTTCTCAACCCTTTTTCATGTGGACAGTAAAGGAAATGAAAGATTTTAGCAGGCAGGTCTTATTTCAAGCCTCAGTAGCACAACCTGAAGGAGCTGCTTCTGGCTAGTTGCCAGAAGAGCTCACCATTAATTTCAGTCCAGGGGCTTTCATTTATGCTCATTATTTGTAGGAACACAGGACTGAAGGAACTTCTTATGCAACAATCTTGGCTTTGATTTCTTCAATAACTTCATTCAGCTCTGCCTTAAAACTAGATTTCCAGTTTCTTTTTAGTTTCTTCCTTTTGAATATCCTCAGGAAAATGCAGTTTTATTCCTAAAAACCCTATGAGGGAGCCAAAAAGATACTGTGTACAAGTGCAAGAATGAGCAAAGAGAGTGGACCAAAGGAAGACACCGACACAGGATTTTTATCTATACTGATGGATAACACAATTTCCAACAATAACACTGTCAAACTTAAAAGCTGCAAAAGCTCTAGTGGTCTTGAGGAGAGAAAAAAAAAAAAAAAAAAAAAGGCAAGTATGTATGGAGTACTATTTGTTGTTCTAAAGGACCTTTGTCTAAGAATACAAAACCATGTTACAAATATGCCATGACAGCATTGGGAAGTAAATGTTT